TCCGTGAATGTATCATTTTCATGAAATTTATAGCCTTAAATCATGGAAATTTTCATCTCGCACGGATATCCGTGAATGCGGAATTTTTACGGAAGACACGGAGAAATAATGGAAATATTCGGATAAAAATTTTTATAGGGATGGTGTTAACGTTAATAAAATAAAAATGATGGAACTTTGTTATATATTAAATTACCAAATATTCAACCACTTAATATTTTTAGTATATTTACGAGGACTTTTCCTTTTTTTAAAAGAAATAGTCTTTTAAAAGAACAAAAAAAAAGCAAGAGAATCTTCTCACTATAAGAAGAGTACACATTTCTTGGATCATTAGTTTAAACTACAGTAACTTGAATATCTCAGGAATTATTTAGTATTAAAATTTTATAACGCGACATCCATCGAAGAAATCAATACAATAGATAATATATTTTCATTATATATACTCGTAATTAAATCCAGTTAAATTTCCTGTGGGCTGTGGGAAAGTATAATATGTTTCAAATCATAAAATTGTTTAAATAATGTATATATATTGATTTATATTTTCTGGCATACGAATGGTGTGAAGGTGGATATTTAGCACTTAACGTTAAACCTGTAAAGCTTTGGAAAGTATTTAATCCCTTTTTTGTACTGCGAAAGAAATGAAAGTTTTACGATTTAAAGTTACTTTTTTAATCGGACATTACATAAAAAAAATGCGGAAGAAATTATAATTAATAAGTTACACTTCAGTTAACAATTTCATAAGGTTAAACCAGCCTAATTTTCTTATTTTTATGATCAAATATAATACGTTAGTCTCGTGTATAAAGTGTACAATATAAATTAATGGTAATTATTAAAACTAATAAAACGTCATCTTTATTGTTTCATAACATATTTTTTTCAGTAATAAAAAATACATAGTTGCTTTATCAGTCTTTCATAATTTGAAATACTTCATACTCTTCTACAGAAAAATCCTTGTCTGTATTTCTAATTGGTTTGTCATAATGAATACGAAAGCAATAACTTTCATTAAAACAATTGTTTCCACACAATGTAAGATCACCTTCACCAAATAAAGGACCATAATCAGCGCAATTATTTATAGCATAATATTTATTTATTACTCTACTTAAAGTATAATTATCAATATTTTCCTTATTAAAAGAGAATATAAAACTATCTTTAGTAACGCTAACACTATAATCAGATTTCCATATATTCGGATTATATCCTCCAAGAATTTCATTACTATCTCTCACTTTAATAATTGAAATTGTATGAGATTTATTATCACAGATTTCATGGAATTTACTAGACGAAAATCCATCACGAGATCCACGAAGAATCAACTTAAATTCATATGAATTTTTCATATTATCAGTAATTTCTAATTTATCAATCCATTTAGAGATTAATTCAGCATGTTGAATTGTAATGATTTTTGATTCAATACTTTTTGATCTAACTTCTTTAGTTATCTTTGGCTTCATTGGCTGATTTATAAAATGTATGATTAAATTTTCACGTAATTCTTTTGATAAAACCTTCTTATAAGGATAAACGTTGACCAAAAATTCTTTATTGTTTAAATTGAAGAATTTAATAAAAGGAATACATTGTTGTAAAGTACTCCTTAAAGTAATAAAATCACCTTTTGAGTAGTTTGAAGGATCTGAAGGAAATCCAGGATTTTGAGCAATACCCCATTTAAGTAAATGCTTCCAAACTTGAATAACGTTCGTCTGAACGTTATCATGTTGAATAAAAGAAATTAAACATTTTTCTGAAAGTGACGTAAAATCGATGGAATTAAAAATTTTTTCTGGTTCTTTAGACATAAGTTCTATACAGAAATTTTGTAATTCTAAAAAAGATCCATTCTTAAAATTTGTCTGATATATTAAGTTAAAATTTCGTTCCATCCAATTTTTCCTATTTTTAATCAAAAATAATTGTAAATGAATGACTAATTCTTGAAGACCAAGTTCATTGGAAGCGATTAAAATCTTAATAATATCTGAAGTATCATATTCCTCTAAAGAAAGTCTCCCTCCATAAATATATCTAAAAATGATAAATATTCGAATATTTACATAGTAAGTATCAATAAAAAAAAAAAAGTCGTCATAATTTATTATTTCAATTCTCTTACCTCAAAATCATTTGAAAAGTTTCAGGTAAAATATTTGGTAATTTAATATGTGCCAAGACCCCATCATTTTGATTTTTATTAATGTTAGTTGATAAAATTCTTCGCAAATAAGGGGAACGATAACATAAAATCACCATATGAGCACGAAAAATTTTTACGTAAGGATCATTACCAACTTCAATTGTAATATCATAATATTCATTATCTCCTAAAATTTCAAGTAAATTTTGTGATAATTTTGGTAAAAATTTATTATCATACATTATAAAAAACTTTGATTGATTTTTTTTTTAAAGAAATATAGAATTTATCACAATTTGGCTAAACTGTAACACTTTATTCTATCGGAATATTTTAACCCGAAATCACTAATCACGTTACCTAAAACGGTAAAACCATATTGTAGCTGAATAATATTAGAAAGCAAAAAAGTTGTGATGAAGATTTGGGAGAGAAGACACGAGTTCTTCACACAAAATTAGTAAAGAGGATTCGAGTCAAACAAATCATGTAAGCGGCGTAACAAGAAAAAAAGAAGATCGGAGACACAAACATTCCCGAGATTCCGGTTAAATTAACAACCGACGACATCGACGTAGCTTATCTAAAAAAAAAATTTCCGCTGTTCCACGTGACTTAACGTTACTTTCCAAGGACGAGGAAAAAATGAAAATTTGAAGCAGGTAGCTTATATAGAAAGTTTACAAGTTAAACGAAGTTATAAGTATAAGACTTTCGAGCCAAACTTCGCTTTACCAAAACATGTGAAAATATACATAAGGTGAAGATTATTACTTCAGAAGGTTTAACTTGATTTTATAGTATAGAACAAGAATCTTATGTATTAATTTAGATTTATAGATACTTTATTGACGCAATGTATTTACGTTGATATGGAGATTAATTACGATTGAGTACTAATTATCTCTATACCAATTAAGTTTTAATTAAAAAAAAAGATAAAGTGCCATTTTTGTTGTACAATGTCACGTGCGAAGGAAAAAATATCATTCTTTGATATGTTTATATCATTTTTCTTAATAGAACATATATTACATATATTTATGATTATTATTGATATATCAAGAATGATACTTTATCTGGACGGTATGTATTTATTTTCCTGAAAATTTTTGGGGCAATCATATAAAAATAATCAAATTTCAAACGCTTATAACTTTTTATGTAGATATTTTTTTGAAAATCTGACCGGTAATTTAATAGTACTTGTCTTGTAGAACAAAGTTACCGGTTTATTTCTTTGAAATTCTATTTTATTAAAGTGTTGAAAGATTTATAAGTATCACAATTTTATTTTTGAGTATAGAGTTCCGGCACCATATAAAGTTAAAACTGAGATTCAAACCTCCTTATACCCTTTAATAGTAGTTAAGTAAACTTGAAAAACACTTTTTAAATCGTGATCTATGAGTCAATCGCGAAGGATCTGTAGAAAATGGGAATCTAAAAGTCGAGATGATTTATATGAGCTTTTGCTATTGGTGGATGATAATCAATACATTGGAAAAATAAAGACAAAATTGAAAGGAAAAAAAAAATAATTATTATACAGTAAAATACTACTAGTGATCAACATAAATCTGCACCGAAATTAAATTTTTTTTTTTTTTTTGAAAATTGCCGCGCCACAAATCTGTTGCATAAAATTTTACCCGTTTCACATGATTTGCTGTTTAAGCTGACTGCTGTGTTCTGTTTCAGATGTTTAGTACTACATATGTACTACATATGAAAAAAAAAAAAAAAAAAAATCTTATTTCATTTCTTGATTTCATTTCTTGAAAGTACGAAATACGAATAATGTATGATAATGAATTTTTACCAAGATTATCTCAAGATTTACTTGAAATTTTAGAAAACAATGAACTTTTTGATATTACTATTGAAGTTGGTAATGACTCGAAAACTTTTCATGCTCATATGATCATATTGATCTGCCGTTCCCCTTATTTGCGAAGACTTATATCAACTAACGTTAACGTTAATAAAAATAAAAATGAACGTATTAAATTACCAAATATTTTACCTGAAACTTTTCAAATGATATTGAGGTAAGAGAATAGAAATAATAATTATGACGACTTTTTTTTATTGATACTTACGGAATTATTCGAATATTTTCATTTTTAGATATATTTATGGAGGAAGACTTTCTTTAGAGGAATATGATACTTCGAATATTATTAAACTTTTAATTGCTTCCAATGAACTTAATCTACAAGAATTAATCACTCATTTACAATTATTTTTGATCAAAAACAAAAAAGACTGGATGGTACAAAATTTTAGCTTGATATATAATACAAGCTTTGAGAAGGATTCTTTCTTGGAACTACAAAATTTTTGTAAAGAATTTATGTTTAAAGAACCAAAAAAAATTTTTGATTCAAGAGATTTTACTTCGCTTCCAGAAAATTGTTTGATTACTCTTATTCAACATGAAAATTTTCAAAATAATGTTATTCAAGTTTGGGAACATGTACTTGAATGGGGTATTGCTAAAAATCCTGAACTTCCTTCAGATCCTTCTAATTATTCAAAAGATGATTTTAAGAACTTAAAGAATACTTTACAACAATCAATTCCCTTTATTAAATTCAATAATTTGAGTCATCAAGAATTTTTGGATAAAGTATATCCATATAAAAAAATTTTACCAAAAGATTTACGTGATGAATTAATTAGGCATTTTATAAACCAGTCAACTAATAGGCCAGAACCAAAGACTACCAAAGAAAATGATTCAAAAAATATTGATTCAAAAATCATTACAAAACAGCATGCTGAATTAATCTCTAAATGGATTGATAAATTAGATATTAAGGACGAGATAGAAAATCCTTATGAATTCGAATTAATACTTCGTGGATCTCGGGATGGATTCTCCCCTAAGAAATTCCATGAGATCTGTGATAATAAATCTCATACTATATCGATCATTAAAGTGAAAGGTAGCAATGAAATCCTTGGAGGTTATAATTCGATCATATGGAAATCTGATGATAAGTGGGGTACTACTAAAGATAGTTTTATATTCTCTTTTAAGAATAAGAATAGTATTAAAAATTATACTTTAAGTCGAGTAAAATCTGAGGTGTGTGCTATAGATAATGACCCTGCACACGGTCCATCATTTGGTTCTAGTGACCTTGAACTGTATGAAAACAATCGTGGAGGTGCGTTCGGTCCAGTACATTATGAAACATCGATTAGAAGCACCAATGGTGAATTTTCCGTAGAAGAATATGAAATATTTCAAATTACGAAAGAATGTGAGCCTGAAGAGGAATCAAATTGTAATATATCTTAAAATTTTTTAAGGACATTCTATTTTATAAGTCTATAATTTATTGAACCCTCAATCCAAGCGTATTTCATTATATTTATTACATTCCTTTTTAAATATTGAAGATTTAACGGCATGTTACTTAACATTGAAAAATAAGTTATTAGTATTATTAGTATATGATTAATTGATTGTTTCATATTTTTTTTTCTATGTAAAATCTAACAAAGAATTAATTAGAAGTTACTTATTTAAATTTTTCTAAAATCGGGAAAATAATTGTTTTGAGTCAAACAAATAAATATTTAATTTACTCTTTATTCAAAATATGATATTAAAAAGGACATGAATAATCAGCTTTAATACAATTCATTAAAACTTTTATAGAATTCGGCCCGAGATTTTAATTCCAACCAGCACTATTATTGCCTGTTAATAATGCGTAAAAGGCGAATTCTTTTTTTTTTTACAAGAATTAATAAAACCAAAATTGACACTTTAAGATTGCACAACGTATTGATACGGAAAATTTAAATTCGTTTATTTATTTAGGACCCGAAATATATATAAAAAGACAAGGTGATAGCTGTACGCAGGACGGCAGGGTTATTACATCCTTCAGAAAATCGGAAAAATACGCAAATTAATTAATCATCATGTGATTCGCGTAAAAAGCGTACATTAAAATTTCAATTACATCTTTTCGACCAATATTAGAAACAGGGTGATGACTGATGAGTTAAAAGATTAAAGATTTTACATAAATTGTTAAACCCTTTATTTAAAAAAAAAAACTTGTTATGGTTATAAAAAATACGCATTTTAATAATCTGAACATGGCTGAAAAAGCCTCAGATTGTACGCAAATCAATAACCCTGTAAGATTTCTCAATTATTTAAATCTAATTTAGATTTAAAGTAGTGAATTTGAGAAATGAAAATTATTGTCCATAATATTATTAATAAATTTTCAAGTAAAATATTTGAGTTTTGCTAACTTATCCCCTGGGTTAAATAACCTGGGTTAAATCACCCCCCTAAAAATTTATATTTTACATGATTTTTGCCAATTATTTTTTTAAAAAAAAAATTTCAGAAAAATAAAAGATTTTATTTTATTTGAACATTTTTTGACAATGTCTCTGATGTTTAAATTTGGGCAAAATTATATAATTATATAAAATTTACTAGTAAATTAAATCACCCAGGTTAAATCACCCTGGGTTAAAATTAATCTTATACTAATTAAAATTCTTGTTAAATTCTATAAAATAACCCGTAGAAATGTTCAGTATATGTTGCTCTATCATTTTATCGGTTTAGTTTTTTCTTTTTACTATTCAATTTACAATTTATAAAAATTTGAAATCACATAATATTAGTGTGGTTTATGGGTGACAGCCACCATAGCGCTAATAATATTACGTTAACAAGAAATGGACGGGATTACTTCAGAATGTTTAACTCAAGTCTAACTTTACGCGAGAGAATAGTTGGCAGGCGATCAAAAATTGCAAGAAGGAAATAAGGCACCTGATCACGAAATTATTAAGAAACAGGTCAGGAAGTATGGCGATCGTTTTGCAAAAATTATTGAATAAATATATTCTAATATATTTCAACAATGAGAACGATATGATGAAGGCCATATACGATTATGCAATAGAAGACGATTCAGGAACCGGTTTACAAGTTAAAAAGCAGGATGAACTAATAGACAAAGATGGTGGTTTTAAGAATCGGAGAACTCGTAAGACATCAACCAATAACGATAGTTCTCTATCAGAGGACGAACAATTTCTCGAAGCAATGGACAGTCTAACGGGTTTGAGGTTCCTAACACTAACACGGTAGAAGATGTTAATAAATTGAATTCGGAATTTAGTAAGACATTGATGACATAGCAACAAGTTCAAAAGGTAAAGGTAAGTAACTGAGTCAGAAAGTAGTGAATTTAATGAACAAAGAATCTTATGTATTAGTAGTTTAGATTTATAGGTAGATACTATTGACGCAATATATTTACTTTGTATTTACGTTGATATGGGATTAATTAGTACGAATTAGTACGATTGAGTAATTATCTCTATACTAATAAAGTTTTAATTAAAAAAAGAAAAAAAAGATTAAGTCCGACTGAAGTGCCATTTTTGTTGTACAATGTCACGTGCGAAGGAAAAAAGTATCTTTTATATTATTTTTCTTAATAGACATATATTACATATACTTATGAGTTATGATTATTACACTTTATCCGGGCGGATATTCAGAACGTTTGCGTAGTAATATATAGTCCTTCGTTATACTTCGGACTAATAATTCAAGATTGAAGATTTTAACCATTCTACGACCTCTTAATAATTGTTCAAATACATTCTATATTTTTGTGACTTCAAGAACGGAATAAATAGTAATTGACAGCACCTTGTTCGGCTGGGCTTGGGCTTGCAAAGATCTATTATACAGTATTACAATTATACAATATATGAATATATGAGGAAACCAACTGAATACGTTGTAATATCTACATATTTAAAAGCAAAAAATTTTATAATATTCTTATTACACATTTTGCACGTTAGCAAGAAATAATTTTTTTATAATACTAATTTGTTTTGAATTATATATGAGTTATTGGTTAGGAGTAAATATCGGTCACTAAAACTAAAGATGCCAGTGTAATCTTCATGTATTAAATATGTGTATTTATTTGCTTGAAAATTGTAATTAAACAAATAGAGCAATTTACTAGTATTTATCTGTATTACGTTCTTTTAAATGATATCTAAAAAAAATCAAAACTTTAATTCCTTAATAAAGAAATTATTACTTTAAATACAAAATATTCAATTTTTTTTTATTCTTCTACTCATAATAATATTTAATTTACAAATATTCGTTCTTATAATGATAAAATTTTATAAAATTGATTTAATGGTAAACTTAATATCTCAAATTTATAGATATTATCACGTAAAAAAAAAAATAGTATTATAAAACGAACGAAAATTTTCAAGCTTTTTTTTAATAAATGGATTTTAGAAATAATGTATTAATTATATAAATCTTTCATACATAACCGTAATAAATTTCGTGATAGTCTTGTAAGTGTTTAATGGTCTAAGCATTAAAGACGTTTTGCTGGGACGTTAAATATTTTGAAGATAAATGCGTCATCATAAACAAGTGATTCGGTGTTTCGGTGTTTCCGGGCCGAAGGATTTTCCGCACTGTATATAAGGTCAGCCATTCAACAAATTAAGGACAACATTTCCTTTCATTTCTTGAAAAAACGAAATATGACTATAATGAACAATAATGAATTTTTATCAAAACTATCACAAAATTTACTTGAAATTTTAGAAGATAATGAATTTTATGATATAACAATTGAAGTTGGTAATGATCCTTATGTAAAAATTTTTCGAGCTCATATGGTTATTTTAAATTATCGTTCTCCTTATTTGCGAAGAATCTTATCAACTAGAGTTAATAGAAATAATAATGATGGAAGTTTAACTCATATTAGATTACCAAATATTTCACCGGAAATTTTTCAAACGATCTTAAGGTGAGAGGAATGAAATAATAAATTATAACAATTCTTTTATTTAAAAAACCCTACGTACTTACAGAATTATTCAAATATTTTAATTTTAGATATATCTATGGAGGAAGCCTTCTTTTAAAAGGATATGATATTTCGGATATTATTAAAATTTTAATTGCTTCCAGTGAACTTGGTCTTCAAGAATTAATCATTCATTTACAATTATTTTTGATTGAAAATAGGAAAAATTGGATGAAACAAAATTTTAGTTTGATATATAAAACAAGTTTTGAGAATAATTCTTTTTTGAAATTACAAGATTTTTGTAAAGAATTCATATTTAATGAACCGGAAAAATTTTTTAATTCAAACGATTTTACTTCGCTTCCGGAAAGTTGTGTGATTTCTCTTATTCAACATAAAAATTTTCAAAAGAATGTTATTCAAGTTTGGGAACATGTACTAAAATGGGGTATCGCTCAAAATCCAGAACTTCCTTCAGATCCTTCAAACTACTCAAAAAATGATCTTAACACTTTAAGGGATACTTTACAACAATGTACTCGTTTTATTAAATTCTTTGATTTAAACCATAAAGAATTTTTGGATAACGTTTATCCGTATAAGAAGGTTTTACCAAAAGACTTACGTGAGAATTTAATCAAACATTTTATAAATCAACCAGATAATAAGCCAGAACCAAAGATAACTAAAGAAATTAGTTCAAAAAATACTATGGATTCAAAAATCATCACAATTCAACATGCTGAATTAATCTCTAAATGGATTGATAAATTAGAAATTACGGACGAGATAAAAAATCCATATGAATTCAAATTAATACTTCGTGGATCTCGTGATGGATTCTCACCTAGGAAATTCCATGAAATTTGTGATAATCAATCTCATACTATATCAATTATTAAAGTGGAAGATAGTAATGAAATTCTTGGAGGATATAATCCGATCATATGGAAATCTGATTATAGTTATGGCAATACTATGGATAGTTTTATATTTTCGTTTAGGAATAAGGAAAATATTGAAGATTATATTTTAAGCCGAGTAAAGGATGAAACTCTTGCTATATTTAATTCCGCTTGTCGCGGTCCAGCATTTGATTTTGATCTTGTTTTGAATGGAAACAAACGTGGAAGTACGTTGCTTAGTCCACCATGTTATGAAAAACCGATTAGAAAAATTAATGGTAGTTTTAACGTAGAAGAATATGAAATATTTCAAATTACCGAAGGAAGTGAAGAATATGAAATGTTTCAAATTACGAAGGGAAGTGAGCCTAAGGGGGACTCAAATTGTAATATATCTTGAAATTTTTTAGTACATTCTATTTATTTTTTATACTGATTTAAAATACCGTATCTCATCAATTAGCAGCTCTTTATAACAATTTCATTATCATAACTATTGTTTTTTTTTGTTTTCATCATTCTCATAAATTATTGGCATGGTGATTATTATTATTATTATTATTAAACAATTAAAATTGATATTACGGCAAAATGAAATATCATATTAGTAACATAAAAGTTATACAATATGGTGATAGTACTTAGAATAATCATATAGGTCTTTCCTTTTTTGCCTATGCAAAATATTCATCCTACTCGCGCAATACATATCTAGTCATGATATTATTGGAAAATATTTCATATACATGAATTCTAAGTTTCTACGGTCTAAATTAACAAATGATTCTGCTGAATAAAATAAAATGGGAATCATTGAGACATGCGATGACAGAAATAAATTAACCATAATAAGTTATGCTTGTCTGTTCGTGACGTTAATTAATTTCTCGAAAATTCTATAAAAAAAAACAAAAGTTGCTTCACATTGCAAAAGTACAACCACAGACGAAGTAATCGTCTCTTCGTCTCTTCCATAATAATTTCTCGCTAGCTTTCTCGGTGTGCTTTCTTTAAACTAGTCCATAATGATTTTGTTTAGATTCGTTATGATTATGTCGCAAATATAGTCCAAAAACTACAGTCGTACAGACAGACGTATACAAATTTGATTTTCGTACTTTTTTTCGCAATAAATGATGTCACATTTTTTTTATTGATTAATTGTGTACTCTTTTTTAAAATTTTTAAGTATGTATCAACGATTAGTGAATTGAGGCATCATGATTGAATTGATTAATCATTGATTGTTCAAATGTATCAAAATCGATAATATAATTCTTACTCGGTCAAATCACATTTTTGTAATCGGCATCATTATAAAATTTCCAATTTGAAAAGTTTCATGTCAAATGTTAAATTACTTCTTTTAATATGCTAAAATAACAATTATTTCTTGCTACATAGAGAATTGACTATGAACTTGTAAATTAAAATTATCTGAGACATATCACATTATCGCAATGAGTTCTTCATAATTTGAATTTTTCCTAATGGTAGGTGATTTTTATATTTAGGGAGAGAGTTAGCATACGCGTTAAAGGGTTCACGGCGGTTATCATTCCTGTTGTATAGGACTAGTAGACTGTCAACGACCTATGGAGCAACGAATTTTGATTCAAGGTATTATAATGATATTTTAAATATTTTAGTATTTTATTTTTTTCAGTTTAAAAAAATAAAAAGTTTTTAAACCGAAATTTTTTCTTTATTTTATTTACTTTTTTGATCTTTTGAACAGAAATATTTTTTTATTTTATTTTCTTAGTTTTTTGAACCAAAAATTTTTTAAATTTTTTTTTTTTTTTTGAAATATTTTTATTTAAACTTAATTTTTATTTTTTTATGTATAGGAAATAATTTTCTTATGTAAACGAAATTTTATTTTTTAAAAAAAAAAATTCTAATAGTATTGTAAAAATCAAAAATTAAGCTCTCTTCTAATAATTACCACTGTAGAAAAATTTTTTAACATAAATTTATATCAAATAACCCTTTCTGACATATAAATAATTGAATTTTATTTTGTAAAGATTTAACAAAAAAATGGAGATGTATTTAGTAATTATTTTTTAATTACTTGAAATACTTCATATTTTTCCACCTTAAAACTTTCTGGAATTCCTATTTTAGGATAAGCAAAATTAGCATCACTAATATCAGAATGATAAAATGTCCAGTTGTCGGTACCGTTACAATAGAAATTGCCCATGTGTGGTCCTTGATTACTCTCGCAATAAATAGCACAACTTGCATTGTTGTCATTAACATAACTTAGTTTTGCAGTAGAAATACTTTTTCCATCTATAATATTATTAAACAGAAAACTATCTGTAGTGTTTTTCCAAACACCATTTCCATCCCAATCAAGTGGATTATATCCTCCAATTAATTGTGTTGTACCTTGAATTTTTGCTATCCAAATTGTAGCTCCTTTATTGTCACAATTTCTATGAAATGATGCAGCATCAAATCCATCTCTACTTGAACAATATATTAACTTAAATCCATAAGGAATATCATTTTTTTTATAAAAATCTTTTCTATCAATCCATGAAGCAAACAGTGGGATATGATTTGATTCAATTAAGGTTGAATCAAGTTTAAATTTTAAGTTTGGCTTTCTTGAAGGTGCTACATTAGTTTTAGGTTTTATATTAGGGACTATATGAAATTCTAAAAGATTATGAATTAAATCTTGAGGCAATATTTCTTTATAACAATAAACTTTATAAAAGAAATCTGCAGGGTTAATATCATAGAATCTAATTAAAGGAATAAATCTGTGTAATGATCTCTCAATTTTTATAGCATCATCTTTACTCCATTTGGTAGGATCATTTAACATATTTTGCTGAGCAAAACACCATTTCAATAAACCTTCCCAAATCTCAATTTCCTCCATATTTAAATTATCTCGTTTAATCAACATTTCCAATAATGGAGCCTTTAAATCAGTAAATTTATCTGAATTAAATAAAATTTTAGGTTCTTCACAAATTTTTTCAAGACAAAAATTCCATAAATCCGTAAATGTTTCATATTGATAAATAGTTTCAAGAATACCAGTTGGATTTTGATGCAAAAATTCGGTTTGATGTTCAATTAAATATTCTTGAATATAAGAAATCAATCGTTGAATATTAAGTTCATCCACTGCTATCAAAAGTTTCAATACTTCAGGACCT